TTTCTAAAGACGGAAAAATAAACAAATAATGAAATTCATCACCTATGTCAGATAATTTGCAAAGTTGGCATTTCCTTTCGGTTAAAGGTATTTTTACTCCATCTCCCAGTTTCAATAGGTAGATTATGATTACAAGTTCTAAACTTAAGTAAGACTCCCCACGCGTTTTCCTGCAGTACGTTTAAATAATATTCAAAATTTAGGCAATCATTTTTGATGATACTATTTGTGCCTTTTGAAGACTTATCCCTTGTACTGGTCCAACACTGTAGGTTAATGTCATTTATTTTTTCATGGACTAGATGTTTTAGGTATGAGGGATTTTTGAAACTTTGTGAAAACAAAATGTAGCTGAATCCATGTTCATCAAAAGTTCGTTTGATATATGTAATCTATTTATGTTTACATTTTCCAAATAGACCATCATTAAATAACAACTTGTGTACAAGAAAGGATAATTTAGATGATTTTCCGGGAAGTAATTTTGCCCAAAAACTTATCATTCTCATTTTGGCGATGTTTGATAGATGGAGTCTTCCAAGTTCCCCATGTACCATGAAATTTGGAGTACATTTTCTTAATGATAAAAGATATTTTAGGAAATGCAAATGTAAACTTTCTAGAGCTTTGCATCCGTAGAGAAGATCTGGTACAACCATACTTTCAAAAAGCGGCAGTTGACATTTAAGTGATATACCATATTCGACGTAATAAGTGCCCAGGGCGCTCTCAAAAATAGGGGGCTCTTATTAGAATATTACTTTGGTGGAAGTTGAAAGATAAATTTCGTAGTTTATGCTGACAGCCTGAACTGTTTATATACGACAGATGCATTTTTCCAGAATTTAATGGCCCATAATTAAGGGTGCATATAACACACGAGTGTGTATTATACACGAATAAATAAGTCTTGTGTACATTGATAAATCGGAAGGGGTGCTAATTGGGATTGTTCACAAGCCAATATATAAGCAAATATCGCCATGGGCGCTTATTACATCGAATACGGTATTTAACTTCCGTCCTTGGCATAAAACATAGAACATAGCTTTCGTTGCTTGTTCTATTAGTTTTTTCTTTGTTAAAGTGAATTTCGAATTTTTTTGAAAGATAACACCAAGGTTTCAACTTTATCCAAAACAACATGACCAATTTTGAAATTATGTTTATAATCAGTTTTTGATCCGCCAAATATTAACATTTTAGTTTTGGTAGTATTAACCTTAAGTCTCTAGTGTATACAATAATTATGAAATGAGTCTAACATATGTTTTAGATCATAAGCTTTTGTGGCCAATAGCACTGCATCATCTGCGTACAGTAATACAAATGGTGTGACAATATGTTCTATTCGATCATAGAATTCATCTGGTTTCAATTGGACACCTTTACAAGAGATGCCTCGAGGTCATTTAAAAATATTGCAAACAAGACAGGCGACAGGTTTTCTCCTTGTCTTACTCCAGATTTACATGAAAAGAAACCTGTTAAATTACCATTACAGGAAACACATGATTTGAGATTCTGGCACATATTATAAATAACGTTAAAACAGTTTCCAGATATGTTATTTTGTAATAGTTTTTGCCAAAGTCCTGGTCGCCAAACTGTCAAATGCTTTCTGAAAATCTACAAATGCACAAAATAATTTCTTTTTCCTAGCTTTCAATTATTCCATGAGGTTATATAGAGCAAAGATGTGATCACTGGTAGAATAACCCTTTCTGAAACCTGCCTGAGCTTCCGACAATATGGAGTTTGTTTCGATGAATGTTTGTATACGGTTATTTAAAACTCCTGTGAAAAGCTTACCAAAACAGCTGAGCAGGGTGATAGGTCTGTAATTTTCGGGGTTTTGTGGGTCACCTTTACCCTTAAAAATGGGTTTGATAACACCTACTAACCATTTTTCTGGAAATGTACAATCAAGAACCATGTTAAAAAGTTTGATATAAATATCTATGAAGACATTAATTGTGTTTGAAATATATCCATTAATTATATTATCAAGACAAAACGTTTTGTTATTTTTTAAATTCTGCACAGTTTATAATTTCACTTCTTGTTATAGCTGCATTAAGTATTGTGCTTTCTTCCATGTTTACTTTACGTAGATTATCAATATCAAAGTCGTCATCTGCCGAAACTTCATATAAAGATTTAAAAAAGCTGAATAATGCTTCACTATCTGGAGTTTGTAAAATAAACTTGTCCTACACACTGAATCCAACGCTGACTTAAGATCTATGAACTCACAATAGAATCTACTACTAGAACTATCTTGATCTGTCCAATCGTTTAAACCTTTACACATTATCTTAGCAAATATTTTCCCTGAACACTCAAGTATAAAGAGATGGGTCTATAATCAGAAGGGTTGTTTCTACTGCCTTTTTTTAATAGAGGCATAATTACACCCAGTGACCAGGCTTTAGGATAAACAACATTATTTAAAATGAGATCAAATAGTGAAAGTAACATTTCAATACATATGGTAGGGGCATTTTGAAAAAATTCTATCGGTATTCGATCACTATAACCAGGGGACTAACCATTTTCATATCATTTATAGTCTAGCATCAACTATTTCGCTGTGAGTTATATATCTATATCAAGTTCACTGTTTATATAAATATTATCTTCAATAGTAGAATCAGACAAGGATAACACAAAATTGTTTATGTAATTATAAAAGTCTTGCTGTTATTCGTATGGGAAGTTATTACCGTATTCGACGTAATAAGCGCCCCGCTCTAATAAGCGCCCACGGCGTTATTTGCTAATATAATGGTTAGTGAACAATCCCAGTTAGCACCCTTTCCGATTGATCAATGTACACAAGACTTATTTATTTGTGTATAATACGTACTCGTTTGTTATATGCACCCTTAATTATGGGCAATTTAATTCTCGAAAATTTATCTATTGTGTATAATACACACAGGTTCTTCTTTCATATCATTTCAGGCTGTAAGAATAAACTACAAAATTTACAATCGTTTTTAATCTCACCAAAATTATATTCTAATAAGAGGCCCCTATTTCTAATTTTGAGAGCGCCCTGGGCGCTTATTACGTCGAATAAGGTATTAAACACACTCTTAAAATGATTCACAAAATGGTTGGCGTCACACTTGGAGTGTTGTTTCCCTTTAAAGAAACTCCAGCTCATTGTGACAACAAAAATTAACATTAACATGCGCATAAAGGTAAACAATCGCTTGCTGATCACATGGCAAACAAGCCAAGCGCCGCGATCGGGATGTCCTACAGTCAAGACATGACAAGTCTTGATTGTGTGACGCATCGCGGCTCTCGGGTATTGATAAACGAGTGGTAGTGCCCGTGGTAAAGTGAAGGCTTAACATTAGGATTAACTCATTAGCCTTGCATAACTTCAAGCTGGCAACGTGGGTTCGATTATCCACGCGATGCTAATATTGGAATCCTCAAAAATGCGCCCAGTTAAGTGCACAAGCCTCTACTGCATCAGTGGTGTAAATTATAGACACTCATACTGACCACCCCATCCTAGTTCTTGAAGTGATTCAACTGAATCTATTGCGTCAGGTATATCCCTTAATGACATTTCTTTTCGCCTGTCAGCTTCTTTTAACGTGTCACCTATTCAAAAATATTCACTCAATTGTCAATTACAACAATCTCGGCAAAATTGTGACATTAGAGACAGGACCCAGCTCAGCTATTCAAGCTCCTTCCCAGCGCGTGACACATTCGTTACACTCTCGGTAGTATATAGAGCTCGGCGAACGGGATGGCTATGCTAAGCAAGTTGACGACGCGCATAGGGAGCCGGGAACCAGCTTAGTGGCAGCGATAGCAGACAATATACAAGCTCCTCACAGCGATAGCCCGTTCGCGGAGCGCTGCCTTCAGTCATAACTCCTCACTGTGACAGGTGGCCACAACCATGCTTGGAATGTTTACAAACAAGTGACGCCGAATACACTTATCGCTGCTGAATTACTTTCTTCTTTGTCAATTTGAATTTCTGTTTCATTAAAACTATCGTGTTGTTGATATAGTAAGAATGTAAGGGAGAAGTTGGTTGATATTCCGTTAGTCTGCAATCTCGAACCAATCTGATTATTAAAACAACAAAGTAAATTCATCTGGAAAACATCGTCAGTCGTAAACCTTTTCAAAATGAAATATGATGGCATTCCCAAAGACATAAACAAAAGTATAAACGTTACTACATTTTGGGTTAGAGAGCAAATTTCAAGATTCTTGTAATGGCCGCGCCCACACTGGTGACAGCGATGTTACCGAGAGTGTAACGAAGGTGTCACGCACTGGGAAGGAGCTTGCTTGTACAACAAGCTCCTTCCCAGCGCGGGACACCTTCGTTGGACTCTCGGTAAAATAGTATAGAGAGCTCTCACAATCCGTCGCAGTGGTGAATCAGCATAATACCACTGCCACAGGCTAATTTGCATATCACGTGACCGGACTTTTCTCTTCTTGTAAACAAACGCGCTTTTTCAGAAATCAGTATAGAACGGACTAATGCAAGTATTTGGGGGCGCTTTACATATTGTTTTGCATAACGATATAGATATGCTACTACAACTGCGACAGTGAGTTGCATGACAATATATATTTATGCATCAAAGTGACTGTGTCGCTAGCTCTCCGTTGGGCTTCGATGACAGCACGTGGAGCCGTACAACAAATGTAAACATAGGATAACTACGCAAAAACAAGTAGATTTTTACGTATTTGCATACTTTCTCAATGAAAGTTAACCATTCTTTGACATTTGTTTATGAAAATGTGTAGACTTGTCAAACATGAAAAGGATGAAAAGCATATGCAATATCTTGACTGGACTGTGAAAGATGTGACGAATCGTCACATGGCGCTGGCCTGTGGCAGAGATACTATGCTAGCTGGCTGCCGGCCGCATGGAACTCTGGGTAGAAGAGTGGAGAGCTCTGTGAACGGACTATCGCTGTGAGGAGCTTGCTTGTACAAATTGCAAGGGAAGATAACTCTGATCATTGTTCAATACCACCAGATGGCATAAAGTAGCCCGTCCAAGATGTCTGCCAAAGGAAAATATCAATATTTTGATTGAATTAAACCGGTAAAATTGTCGAAATGGACCTAAAGCAAAGACTGAAGTCTCTGATAGGGCGACAGGTAGTTATCACACGTTCTGCGTCATACTATAGTGTAGTATCATGTATTCTTCTAACGTGCAAACACATCACAGTGATATCGTCACTTTTGCACCGACTAGACCTGGACCTCTATACAGACGTAAGGCGTTAGGATTAATCACCAGCTAACTTACAAGAGAACTTTGATCAAGAGCATCAACACGGCGCAAAGAATTTTTGCAGCATGCCTACCTATTGAGGTCCTAAAGCGCACGTGTGTAAACCAGAAGATCAATCTCATTAAAATAAGATCTTAGTTCTCGCTATCGCTAAACAAAGATCAGAGGACATCTCATTACGGGACAAGTCAGAACGACCTTGCATCCGACCAATCAAAGCGTTGCTTACCAGATCATGATAGTGACAGTCGGAAGGTGTTTTCTGATCATGCGGGGTAGAACAGATCTTCAGCAACCAATGTTTGCTGTAAAAGGTAACTATGCTTGTCGTATGAGGCGACTAACGGGATCGAGGGAGGTGGGGGGGGGGGTCAGGCACACTGACTTGGTTGATTCATGTAATCGAGGGGCGGTCGGGTAGCCCTGTGGTTAAAGCGTTCGCTCGTCACGCCGAAGACCCGGGTTCGATTCCCGACATGGGTACAATGTGTGAAACCCATTTCTGGTGTCCCCCGCCGTGATATTGCTGGAATATTGCTAAAAGCGGCGTAAAACCATACTCACTCACTCACTCACTCATGTAATCGATCACAATTGTGTGGATCTATGCTCAAGACATTAATCTCTAGATTGTCTGGTCCAGACTTGACTTCTTGTTAGTCATTGCATTGGTCGGTCAAAGTTCGCAAAAGGTCATTCTGACATGACCCGTAATGGGATGTCCTAAGATATTTGTTTAGCGACAGCGAGAACGTAGGTCAGATTTTAATGAGAATGACCAGAAGAAAAAACAAATTGTAATTTGCATGTGGTTCAGAATCAGGAATAAGAATATGACACAATTCAGTATAAGTATTTATGTATATGAAAGTAGAAAACAAGCATATTGATGTAAGGGGGGTAACTCTAAAACCCAGAGTAATTCTATAAATAGAACACAATGTTAACGTAGTTTGGAATGGTTGTTTGAGTGTTGTGATGATGTCATCATAGTAATACCGTTGTGTAGTCAGTTATGGTTTGGATCTGAAGAAGTAAACATCATTTGAGTTACCGGCGACTTGAGTCTTCTTTCAATATTATGAAAACAAATCTTGATTTTTTTCACAACATTGTTTTCAAGGAACAAGGGGTATTAAGTTGACACAATCATAGTGGTATACATGATACTGTTGACATTGATAAAGACATTTACAGTGGTAAAGATATTTTTAAAAATTTCATAATTTTTCTTTCAAAGTAATAGCTACATTGTTGTAATATTGTTTTGTAATGAAGTACAATGCCGTGCCAGTTATATTCGTACAATCCAAAATGGCCACCGTTTGTTTACATATCGACTCGCTTTTACAGATCGTCATCTATTAATGAACAAATTATCTACATACCTTAGTATTTGGTAAGATGCCCTTTCATAGTCAGAACTTTAGATATCCGGCGTGGAATAGATTCATAAAGGCCACGAATAAAGTCTAGCTCAATGTCCTGCCAAGTGATATGGATCGCTTCAAACAGCTGATCTTGGTTAGTGATGTCGTTTATGGTGTCCTGTAGTTTTTCTTTAGTTTAAGCCAAACATTTTCTATAACATTTAAATCCGGTGATTGTGCTGGCCAATCCATCGTGTTTATGACATTGTTGGCGATGAATTTTTTCACAATATTTGCCCTATGAACTGGCGCATTGTCATCTTGAAATATATAGTTATTGCCTGGAAAATGTCTACAAATTACTGGCCACAAATTATTGTCCACAATTTCTATGTATTTCTGGGCATTGATGTTACCATTTACACGCACCAAAGTCCCCACACCATGATAACTGATACTCCCCCACACCATCAAACTCAACTTCCTGGTTCGAGGGGGACACACGCACTCGGGTCGATCGGCTTCATTTTCCTTTCTCCAAATGTATACACGATTATTATTTCCAATAACCACCTGACTCTCATCAGTAAAGATTACATTTTTCCAAAAATCATTGACAGTTTTTTTCCTCATACTCCGACACCAAAAGACACGTTTTCTTCTGTTCACCCCCCTAACAACCATCTATTTTTTCGTGATGCGCCTGTAGAATCCTTCTCGGTGTTATTCCCTTTGAATTGTTCTTTTCGAGACAGGTTGGTCTCTCACCGAATTGAAATTACCAGTGATGTCCTTCAAAGGTCTCTGTCTATTATTTTTAATGAGTCTGAACAGCGCGGTGCGATCTCTGTCTGACAATTATTTTTGTCTAGCTTGTCTCGGGATGTTTTCTAAAACCCGTTTGCTGAACTTTAGCAAAAAATACTACCCAAAGTAGACTTGGGAACCCCCAACAGGTCAGTAATCGCTTGATAACTTTTCCCCTCTTCTTTTAACTTTAACGCTATTCTTTTCACATCACCACTCAATTCCTTAGATTTTCTCCCCATGTTTGCACTGATTATCGTATGTTTTGCTCAAAACAGCAGACGACACTTTGAAGGACATCATGTGACGGTCACATGATCAAAGTGACGTCATGTCAAATTTAACATGGTTCCGAGCATTATTGACGCTACGCGAAACATTTTTGTGCTCGTAAAATATTCGACGGTTATAAACCGTTATGGATCGTACGAATATAACTGGCACGGCACTGTAGATCAGTGGAGACATGCAGTTATTGTTAAAATTGAAACCCACAACGTTGTGTGTGCATTTGTTTATTTTAACCATGAACTATACTTCTCTGTGAGAGTTACCTCTCTAATGGCAATATGTTTTCTCCTGCAGCCGGGGCGGTCGGGTAGCCTGGTGGTTAAAGCGTTCGCTCGTCAAGCCAAAGACCCGGGTTCGATTCCCGACATGGGCACAATGTGTGAAGCCCATTTCTGGTGTCCCCCGCCGTGATATTGCTGGAATATTGCTAAAAGCGGCGTAAAACCATACTCACTCACTCACTCACTCTCCTGCAGCCTGACACATCAATTATTCACCGTCCGAAAGTACAATTTCTCGCTACACGGAAACTGGGTCAACATTTCCTGCATTACGAAATGCTGTGCCCATGTCCCCATCCCTCTCGACAGACAGACCCACTGTACGGAAATGGGTCAATGTTTCACCGCAGCAAAATGTTGTATGGGGAAATAGGATGGATAGAGCTAGACTTGTGCCCTGCCCTTTGCCTCCTTGCAGCTGCAGGCGCTCTAGGGCAGGTAAACCAGTCTAAGACAGGGCATGTCTCCCTCTTATGATTGTTGCCAAGTAACATAAACATGATTAATATACTAATTTACGGATAGGAATGTTTTTAAAAATATTTTCATAATTATTTATATATATAGTATGTACGCATATCATAATACATGTGAGACAAAGGTAAAGTTTCTTTTAAAATTTTGTTTGCATCTTTCCAACGATTACTCATACCCCCATGTAATTTTCTCACACCCATAACAAATCAGGCAGCAGGTGCTGCGCAATGATGCCTCTCACATGTATTTGCTATCATTCATTTGGTAATCAAAATACACCCAGTCGTTGCAATTACCGCTGGTTCTGTTGTTATAAGAGGGTAGGGAATACCTGTGCACAATAACTGTTCACAGGTACTCAGACCACCTTTTCACAGATCACAGACAATTTTTTCCACCTATTTCACAATAACGGATAATTGTTGTGTAAATTAGTTCATATTTTCATTGTGGAAATAAGCAATAATTTAAACCACATCATTGTCAAGTTTATTTTTTGCATAGATAAACAAGGAGTGCATATCACATTATTCATGAACTCGAAGTAGTTATTTCCCTTTCCTCATATCAGAACCTGTAACTGCATTGAACAACATGCATTATCTTACCTCCATGTCAGAATGATGAAATCTGACTGATCCACTTACTTGATAAAATTTTATCCCTATTTATCCCTCCTTGGAGGGCATTAAGTTTCTCAGCAGGGGAACAGCATTGGAAATTGGCACTAGTCCTGTAGTCCTTGCCAAACTGTCCAATAGTAAAGGTATCATGAGGACTAGTAGAAAATTGCCATTTTTAAGGGTTTTGCTGTATATTATCATTAGGAAGACTAGTGGACTACCAATGTGGGTTCAAATCCCGGTCGGGGCTCATCCCAAAAACGTATGAGAATCTGTACTTTACTAAGAAAGTGTTATCCCAGATATAACAGTTGTTTCATTTGACCACTTTCTATGTGGCATTTTGTGTTCATTGCTTCATAGGTTGTTTAGAAAGATGACTGAGATTTGAGCAAAATTAGCCGGTCTTTGACTGCAAATTTCTGTGTGTGTGTATTTTTCAGAAACATAATTTTAGTATGTTCTAAAAGCTTATTCATAGATTTGCTACATATATGTCATTTGTCAGCTACACGTATGCACTTGTTTGCTATCGTGTTTAAACATGTTTACATGTTTACTTTCTTCAAAACTGCTTGTACGTCTCACATACAAGTGACTGGCAGACAAGCCGCTTGGGGGAGGTAATCGATGCCTGACGAAAGTGTTCAATCAGAACATCCGTCTTGTTACATTAATAGTCTGTTGGAAGGGTTCAATATAGAGGTTATCACGCTTGTGTGTTCTGGGATGGTAAGTATCCTGTATTAGGAATAAACATTGTATTTAGCGAGCCTTGGCGAGATAAATACATAGTGTTTATTCCTAATATAGTTCCAAATGATATTGTTCCAACTGAAACCAGTTTCTTATACAGTAGTGCCGTAACTACATATAAAACAACAATTGCCTGCACAAATTGTTTTTACTAGCCTTTCGCGGTAATCCATCGGTCTTTCCGATAGAGTAACTGCCCTTTATTAAAGGGAAGCTACTCTAACCCTAGTCTACGAGACCTCATGGCACAGTCAAA